CTTTCATACGAAATGACTTCACTTAGTCTTGCTTCTCGAAAGGCTCTCTCAACCCAACTGTATGAGAGGTATTCACCTTTTTTGGTTTAAGATGATTCATAACTGGTAGTTGAATTTTCCTACAATCATGTGAGTAAACCCCACGTTTCTATTCAATTTCACATAGACTTGCTTTCTAACAAGGTATTCTCATGTCAAATTCAATAAAAATGTACGGTATACCCTAATCATTGTGGTAAAATTCAACTACGGTAGAGGGTTAACACATCTCATACATCTGATTTACTTGTAGTGTCGAAACGGTAATTATAAACGAAAAGTAATTGGTGGGTTGACCTTGTTTTCGCAACTTGGTCTTGTTGTTAGGTCGACTTAGTTGGACGCACCTTGTCCAAACTCCTCTGCTAAAGTAGTTTTCGTAATTATCGGCATCAGACCTTGAACCTGGTACATTCAAAAACGTTCGCCGACATCGTAGTCGACATCAGCAGTGAGCCTCTGCATCCCCGGCACCAAGCTACAATTTGCCAAGGAGACAAGACAATCTCAGACCGTTGACTTGGTCTGAAAGACAAGAGTGTCTGACGAGTTATGGCTTGGTGGTGAGAATGGCAAGACTCGCTGATGATGCCGGCCATGATACTGGCCAGCTAAACGTTTGAGAATGTGCCAAGTACACGGTCTGATGCTGGGAATTATGATAACCACCATGGCAGAGGACTTCGGACAAGGTGTGTTTAACTAAGTCGCCCTAGCAACAAGATCAAGTTGCGAAAACGAGGTCAACCAACTTCTGTAGATCGAAAGCAGACTGCGAACATACCGAGGGCCACATCATCTTGGTCTTCATCTCTTCGAAAAATAATTGAGTTCTCCTACCTGGCCTTGCCTCCCGAAAGGCCATCTTATGCGGGCTGAGGTGAACTTTCGACTCAGTTCCACGACGTAGTGGTCAACGCGTCGGGAGGGAAAGCTGCATTGCAATAGCCCTTGTTCGAGTTCCACCGGGGAGGCTGATAAGACCAGTTTGGACAAAGTCTAAACTGCAAACTCGTAAGCTTGAATTTTGTTGTGACGATGTTACCTCGCTCTGATGATGTCCGTCATATGACGGACGA